GATAAGAAGATATGCCTATTCTGCACAATGCTTTCACTGCTGACTCCTTCACACGTAGGAACTGTTCACTCCGCTAATGGATGTCCTTCTTCCAAATATTGTATCAAATAAACTTACTGAGTGTTTTACAGGGAGAATTTCAAAAAAATCCCAGGTATTCACATTCTCTTTGTTTTCTTTCTTTGAACATGCAAATTATTTTTGCTAGAGGATCTTGGAAAACACAGTGTTTGATGGAGGTTATGTGCAAAGCGATTCTAAATTTACCATTTTTCTCAAACAGCTGATTAGCTGAAGGAACTGAACATTTGCAGATAAATCATACATGCTTAGCTGGCAAGTGAAGTGTTTTGTAGGAACGTGGCTTACAGAAGCAGTCGGCAGTCTCTGGGTGCAGGTCACGGGGAGGCGCAGTTTCCAGTCCGTCTCACCATCCAGCTGATCGGTGCGCAAGAAGCAAGACCCTGTAGGTTTTCAACAGCAATTAGTGCTCCCTCTAGATGTGTTTTAGGAACATCAGTAACTCATGAAATTGCTTCATAGCTAGGACACTTTTCTTGCCCTGAAAACAGCATCCGATTTAGAGCAACATTTGTTAATGTTGCAGGAAGGAAAATAACGTCGTTCTTGCACCACGCACTCAGTTCCTTCCAACAGTCTGGATACAATGAGATGCTGCATTATATTTTCAAGATATTTAAAACATTCTCATTAGCCTTTATATTTTTCTAAATGTTCTGACCAAACCCCTCCTTATCTCACACTTAACAAAACAAACCTGAATGGTAAGTAAAATGATTTACATCAACAGTGCAAGCCACTGATTCCAATTATCTCCATCCTTTAATTAAGCAAAAATTAGTGTATAACAACATGACAAGCAGCGTTCCACTAAAATTTCTAAATTCTCTGGCTCCCTAAAATTTAACTACTATCTACTTCTTTCATGTTTCCAAAAGACAATTTTATCTAAGCAACCAGTGAAAGGTTAATGACTATTTTGACAATTGGTTCCAGATGTTTACCATTCTTCTCCGACGTCCTCAGGAAGATCATGTCAGCAGGGACCCGCTGGTTCTGTTGCGAGAAGAAAGGCCATTATTGTGCACGGAGCCCCGCACGCGTGCGCGACCTCCATCCCCAGCCCCACGGTGACGAGGCAAAGGGCTCGCGAGGAGAATGTGTATTTCTTTGTCGGCCTGGGCTTGGCATTCATGTTGCTTTCAACCCCAAAATCGCTTCCCTGCAGAATCCCAAGTGCAGAACAATAACCGGTGCCAGCTCCCACTGACCAGCCCGCGCTAACGTCTAGGTTTACAAAAGAGCCACTGAGCAACCCTGGAGGTACGAGGGAATTTTAGACTAGTGTTGATTTTCTTTCAAGAAGCCCTGCGCTAGTGGAAACATGCATCTTGAGCATAGCATCCTTTTTCTGTCCTCAATACTATCATAACGATGCTTTTAGGGTGCACGCTTACTTGCATGGAGATTTGTTCTTATTTCTAAAGACTATCATGCTATTTTCAGGATGGGGAGAAAAAATTGAGGAAAAAAAAAAAGAAGTGATTAAATATCATAATACCTGGCACTCAATACTCTGAGCCAAGCACAAAGCAAACTAGATTTCAAAATACTCCCTTTTTTACAGGCTTGTGCAAAAAAAAGTTTTGCAGCTAGCCCCCACACACGAACCTTTTCAACGATGATGAGGTCTCCGACTTGTATGTTGGAGCTCTTCACCTTCACGGTGCCTGCGGAAGAAAGACCCAGGCGCATCAGAGCAGGACACGCCATCGCCGCACGCTCCTCGGCAGGAGGGCAGCAACGCGTCCCCACATGGACTGTCCTGCCCAAGGGAGGCTCCTTGTGCCCACGGGGCAGAGGGGTGGTTGCCACCTTCAACAAGGGTTGAAAACCCTTCACTTGAACAGCAGCTACCCGCCTCGGTCCTGAAACTGAACCCCCCGTTGGCTCTGTGGGGACCACTCTGGAATGGGCCCTGGTGATTTTTCACGCAGATGACAGGGTGGGAACAGTGAGGTGACAACAGAGCAGCACCCACCTGTGACTCCTCTTCCCCAAGCAGATGAAAATTTAAAGCTTAAACCTTCAAAGCAAGACCTGGGAGCCACAATTAAACAGGCCTGTGTTTGCATCAGGGCTCTTTCCTGTGGCAGCCTGTCCTCGCCCCCCGCCTCAGCCCCACTGCCTGCACAGGCCACCTCTACCCACACTGTGTGGTGGTCTCAAGGGCCTTGCAATCGTGGTACAGCAGGGGACTCGTTTAACAACCAGCTCCAGCCATCTTCGATCATTAGCCAGCTCCAGCTCGGGCTTGCCCAGCAAAACTAGCGATCTGTAATCAGCGAAGGCCAACGTGGGCTCTGCACGTCGCCCTCCCCGGGCCAACAAAAGCCTCTTTAAGCAGCAGCGCTGCGAGCGGGAGTCGGGGCAGCCCGCAGAGCTCGTGCCCGGCATGGACAAGGCTCCTACTGTACCGCCACGCTCGCTCGGGGGCCGCGCGGAAGGGGGGATGGAAATTAGCACGAGGCACAAAGGTCAGCGGGGTTTTACCCCGGCAGGCCCTTCATTAGCATCCTGCGCAGGATACGCGCCGGCGTTCCTGCTCCACGCTGACAAAGAGCAGCATTTCTCACACCTATCTCCTAGGTCTTTCGTAGACTCGGAGGTTTGGCTGGTGAGAGTTTTTTTTAAAGTTAAAAAGGGTAAACAAAAATCAACACTGGGCTAAAGTGTCTCTGAGGGGGCAGGAAGCATAGCAGGGATTAAGAGTCCATTACGCAGCGGCTTAAAGAGAAAAGCTGCACTCCAAGAGGATCCAAAAAAAGCATCCCTGGCAGTCTCTGTATGGGCTATACAAAGTTAGGCGCTATGACACTAAAAGGGTCTGACAGATAACATCTCTTCCTCCCCTTTTAATACGGTTATTCATGAAACAACAAAAAGTGCTTGTGAATATTCTCCTGCACAGAGGAGGAAAAACTGCATTCTCTCCCCACAGGCATAAAAAAGTCCTAAATCACTGTGCAGAGGGTCTTGCTGAGGAGCCGAGGTTCTGTTTAACCATATTTTAATGTGCTTCCCTTGACGGGCACAACTATTTACTTGGTGCCTAGCAGCATGGGAAGCACTACCTGCAGGTTTGGAAATGGAAAGGAAGCTTATTTTCATAGCACTTCTCTTAGTGATGTAAATTAATGCTGAAGAAAAAAAAAAATAATGCCTGGACAAAGCTCAAACATGATGATTTCCTATCATTACATGCATGAAAGGATTTTTGGACCATTATTCTGAAAACAACACGATGTGCTTCAAAATTTGTTTCACTCCAAAGAAACTGTGCCTGGAACAGATTCCTTGTGCCCAACAAACTTCTCAAAAGCTTTGGCTATTTTAAGGTGAAAGAGAGGACAGAAGTACCTTTCTGATCAACATGCTTTTCTTTCTCTCCTCCTCCCATCCCCCTTAAATAACTGTTGTATAAATTAGATTCCCCTTTTAGATAGCAAAACTAATTCTGCTTTTCCAGCCATACTTGTGGACTCTGATGGATGACATCTCTGCAGTATGTACCATATGTCCCACTAAGGGGGCACAGGACCAGATGTTTCCTTTGACTCAGGACTCCCACAAAGCAACTTACTTGCATTAGTTTTATTTTGATCTTGGGAATTCCATAATTCCTTTTTCCTTCAGGGTAAAAACTGCTAAATACTAGATGCAGATTTTCTCACACGTTTAAGAAACTAGCTATGATCCGTCACTTCAATTCTCACTTCATTTCACTTAAGAACTCCACTTCTCAATATTGTTCTAATAAATTAGTGCTTTTGTAAATGCAGAAAAATACTTCCCTCTAAATACGAACATGCAAATTTAGAAATAGTGTGGATTAGTGTCTTGCATTTTTTGCATTTTGTGCAAATGCAGAAAAATACTTCCCTCTAAATACAAACACGCAAATTTAGAAATAGTGTGGATTAGCATCTTGTTATCAGTCTATATTTTAAAAAGTTAATCAGAATACAAGTCAGTCAGATACACGAGCAGCTAATATTGAGCTCTAAATGCTAAAATGAATCAATTCTTAAAGTTTTAATGATATTTGTTTGCATTTTGTATTTATCATTGCTTTATTCTGAAAAATGTGTATGATAAAAAGTAGAAAAAAGTAGAAAAAGAAATGGAAATAGTTTGTACCATCTTCAGCCTTTGGAATTATCACCAAACCAGCAGTGTGATAGATGTATCACAATACAGGTTATCTAAAGGCTTAAATACATTAGCCAGGAGAAATGCCTCTTTGTACCAGATAAGCACCTAAGTGAGATCTCACAAGAGAGCCACATGGTTTTTATCGAGGTAGAGATCAAAACACATAATGTGGAATTAAAGATGAAGCAATAGGTTATTAAAACATGTCAAATGTACCCCAGAAACTGAAAAGGGGATTGTTTGGATCCGCTGCACCAAACTTCTGGCTTTTGTAGCCTTACGCTTTATAAACTGTGGAGTAAGACTCAGAGGGTTTGGGAAAATATTGTTTTTATAGGGCTGGTAAATGCCAATGATCTGTATCTTAAGTAGCACCCCTCAGTAGGAGGTCTCTTCCCATTTCTTGCTGTGGAGTTTCTCTCTATTATGCTGTGTTACCCGAGGGGGGTGAGAGAAGAAAAACAAACCAAGAATTTGCAAGCATGGTTCTAGCTTTCTGTCAAGCAGAAAGCAAGCACGCAGCCCCCCGAACACAAGCGGTCTTGTAGGTTTATGAATAGGGGATTGAAATTTGATTGTTTTTTGTTACAATCCAACAACTGTCCTCTAAATAGAGCGTTCTATTAAAAAAAGATGCTTTCCAGAAGTCTGCTGGGTTCATCATTTTGGAACTTAAATGGATCAGAGCAGTAGAAAGGAAAAACAAGTTTTAGAGTGTTTTTTCTTTGTTTGCTCTTTGTTATGTAAACTAAAGGAACCTGGTCGTACAGAAAATACATTACACTCTACTCTGCCTCACACCATCCTCCAAAAAGATTAGTCACTGGAATTTAGCAACTATATTCAAAGCAAAATGTGATCCAAAGAGGATTCTGCCTTTTTCTATTTAAAGAAAGCAGCTTAGCAAATCTTAGAAAGCTTAACAAGTGCAAATAAAAAATATAAAATAAAATAAAAGAAGTCATATAGAGCAGCAAAGCTGCAAATCGCCTATAGTTACAAAATACCACAGGTATCAATGTTAGCAAGCTGGATGCTGGAGAGCTCCTCGTGTTGAGGCAGAAATTGTCCTTGGAAAGGCAGTAGCAAGGACTGCTCAACTGAGCATACAGCTGGTCTCTGCTGAGTAAAAGAATTCAAAGCACGGGAAAATTCACACAAAGAGGACAAGAGGATCCTGGTTCAGGAAAGCACTTCAATCTGTGCTTACTTCTATCCCTATTCAGAAAAGCATATAAGCATGTGCTTAAGTCTCCCCATCTCCATTCAGAGCAGAGTATGCGCTTACAACCCCGGGCCAGGGAGGCCAAGGTTGGAGATGGGAAAAACTCTTCTCCAGTCCTCTGCTTGAGGAGCAGCTTAGCAAAATTACTCAGCAGAAATAAAAATAGCTTGAAGAAAGCTTCAGAGATCCATTAGGCCTGTTATAGCCAGTCCTGGAGAGCAGCAGTGCACAGCTTCCATCTCTGCTAACCTCCACGTCACCAAGCACTAGCTTTAGAGGTGAAGCTATTGTGCAGCAAAACACATATAGATCTCCACATTTCTGATGGCTTTTGTGCACCAGCACCCTTGTGCACTGCCCTTTTCATACAGGACTGTGCTAATATCCTGAAGCATGAATTGTGTGTTACAACAAAAGAAAAAGTGAAATTACCCATAGGCTGTCTGCAGCAAGGCCCCTCTGGAGTTTTTTGTCAGCTACACTGAAAATTCATGGCAAGAATGTGTTTAAAAAAATTAACTTTGACATTTGCTGCTTCTGCTTCTCACTCAAAGAAGTATTTGTTAGAAAGCTTATCTACATCTCAACCATGCTAATAGATAAAATTAAAACAAATAAAAAATCCTTTGGTTAAAAGCATCCAGTCCCCTCCCATGTGGGCATCACAAGCTACTCCTATGTTTCCATGTTTGTAGATGATGCTTGCAGGTGTTGAAGTTTCAGTGAAAAAAATGAGTACTTGAGTCTTCTTGATAACTAACACTATTAAAGGACTCTGAAGCATGAGTGTGAGAATGAATAATTTTGACTTTTCTTCCCAAACTGTTAGGTGATTATAAATGATTTTCTGTGACTTTTTCCTACTCTAAGCTATACTGCTTGGAGACTCTCATTACTTTTTCTTTTCTTCCCCACACACAACACCAAACGTATGTTACAAAGTAAAATAAAATGGCTTAAGATTTTCTGCTAGTGCCCAGCTGCCAATCCTCCTTGGTTTCTTTCACAAAATTAGAAAAGTTAAAGGGTTGGGGGGAGGGAAATCATTCATGGGAAACGTAATAGCAATATGAAAAGAACTAAAGGAGAGGTCAGGCCCCTTATACATCATTGAATGGAATCCAGAAGGCAACTCTTTTATATCTTTAAATAGATGTAGTACACCCCTCTTGGATGGGGCTTTTGTTGGTTGCCAAGCATTTTAAGTGTTGTAGTAAGAACATGTTATTAAAAGGGGATTTAATATTCAGAAACTCCAATTCCTTAGTTTGGAGTTGCCTCATAAGTCCCAGCATGTGAAATATATACAGCCCTAAGCAATCACGCTTAAAAAGAAGGCTTACTCTTAAAAGTGCAAGTGTTGAAAACAGCATATTTTTCGTACACCTAGTTCACTACATATTAATCCAAGGGTATAAACTTTATAGCAAAAAAAAAAGGAAATAGAAAAAAAAGAAGTTGCTTAAATAGCAGCTTAGTTGCTTAAATTTAGTTCATTCTCAAAAAGGCAGCCCTGGCCTCACTGATGTTGTCATGGTATTAGCAGCAACTCCACAGTAAAACAGCCTTCGATTTTTCAAATGAGAAATCAAGTTAGGTACAGGGAAGCTGTACACGATAACCAGCATCAATGACCAGATACAACTGACATGCTGTTGTCCTAAACAAAAAAAATGAGCTTCCTGAACTCCTCACAGTTGCAAGAAGGGGCTAAGGAAAATATATACAAAAAATACAGAAGAAGACACTGCCGATACTGCGGTGCTACATCAGCCGCTGCTAAGCACAAAACACATCAGAACGTCTCACCCACTCTTTTAGTCAAGGGCTTGCAGGGATAAGTCCCTGCCCAGCTCAACCCAGAAAAAACAGTGGGACTCGACTTTACGTGCTTCATAAATGATAGGATATGTCAGCATGACAAGCAAACACCATAAATCCAGAATGCTCTTGCAAGGTCCTTCGTGCACTGCTTGCTTCTGCATCATTATAACTTGCAAGGCAAATGCTGGAAGGGTTCCCAATACTAGATGCTGTATCTAGGTGTGATTTCAGATTAACAGCCGAAGTGGAGCATTCAGAGATACCTCCTGATCAATGACAGTGTCAGGGTACATAAACATTTCAAGCTACCTTTATTGCTAAGGATTTTACCCAACTTTATACCTTGCTCAGGAAGCCTACTCTCACCCGAACCCACCTTGCACAGCCCCTTCTGACACCATCACACCCTTCCCACTCCCCTTTCTCAAGTAAAGTCATGTTCTTTCCATTAAAGAATATGAAGCGCTAGTTTATAGGAATCCTTCCTACAGTGGTCTCTCTTTCCCACACAGTGATCAAGACATACAGCACAGAGAGACTAAAATTGGAAGAAAACCAACAAAAAGCCAAGCTGTAGAGCCCATCTCCTATAGCCCCACACCCTTGTCTTCTCCCTCTGATGCTGCTCCCTGTGGTTGCACCCCTTCCTTCCCAACACACTTGGGAGGACTGCTTGCACATCACAGCTTTGTGGGAAGGGAAACATCTCCCCTTGGAAAAATCAAATTCCAGACCAAGGCCCAGATTTCATCATCTTCAGTGACACCAATTTGCCAAGGAAAGACAATAACGATGGGAAAAAGGAACAAACGTAGTGAGCCTACATCGGGGTTGGGGTGGGCAAAGGGGTGAACAGAGAGGGTTTGAAGGAAAAGGGCCGCCCGCGCGGGCCGACCTCTCGCCGTGAGCTTGCTGTAGATCTGCGAGTTCACTTCCTTGTCGCGCATGTAGCACCTGATCTCCTCCGTCGCCTCGCGGATCACCGTGACGGCGAGCACGAACCCCTGCGACAGAAACGGGTGGTGGGGAAGAAACGGATGAATAAAAGGCCAGGAAAAAGGAAAAAAAAATACACGAAATACATCCTTCTCTCAGCAGCATTCCACCTTTGCAAAATAAATCTTGAAGTCAGAGCAAGCATCTACGCTAGAATACATGCACAGGATGCTTTAAGAAAACAAGCAAATAAAATGATTTAAGATATACATTTACACCCCAAGTAAAAGGCAGCAAAAGAACTCCTTCCGGAATAAATAAATTACCTACCAGGGGTACCCAGTACGTGTAAAGGGCGCCGAGTCTCATTTCAACCACAAACTGAGAGCAGGCCAAGAGTAAGAAATAAAGATTGAAGAAATATTTGAACTGGTTAAACAACACCTAAAAAAGAAGAGGAGAGAGAAGGTGAATGAGTTCAGAAGTTATACGTATTGAACTAACTATAAGAAGCAGTTTTGCTCGCTGCTCCAGTGTGTGAATGCTAACACAGGGCAGGCCTATTGCAGCCAGGGAAATTCATTTCTAAAGGTCAACTTCCTCTGCCTGCTGCAGAACAAGTCGTTGCGAAGCTGCCATGCAGCCGGGCTGAACTCCTCAGCAGAAATACATCATTCCACATTTATTTTAAACTTCTGACAACCCCCACTCTGCAAAGTAATGCTCAGACCAAAGAGCAACAGAGCCGCCTACTATATTTAGATTGCAAAATCATGCTGAGCACATGCTGAAAGAATTCAATGAACTCAGAAAGTCTGAGCGTCTCCTATCTAAATAGCCAACACCACAGCGCAGAGTTGGGCGCTGGGTTGGGAGGAGAGATGGAGAAGGAAGCGTTAGCAGAGCCATCTTCTCTCCCAAGGGGGAGGGACTCGAGAAGGGTGGAAAAGCTCTCAGCATAGGAAGGATGAGGAGAGGAAAACAAAACAAAGTGCCAGAGAACATCCCTGGAGAACCGCCCTTGTTTCTCCTGTTGCCACCAAAACAGCATGCGCGACGGCCGAATCGGCAGCTCCAAAAGCAGCCACTGCCCGTCCCACACAACCCTCTCCCCAGCTTTGTGACCGGCATTTCAGGCCCTTGCACAGCAAGGGAGGCAACGAGGTCCTCCCTTTTCATCATCACCCTAGACAGGCACCTGCTTTGCTGGTGCCCTGAGACACCTTTGCAGGAGGTCCATGTGACACCAGGTCCTTTCTTACTTCCTCTGGCTCGGTTTTATACCTGGTCCACCCCAAACCATTGGTAATGGGGAAAGAAATAGGACAGGGTGCCAAGAAGTGGCTTTGTTCACACTCACCCCAGGAAGGAAGGTGAAGAAGTTGTACTTCTGGTTGTTGATCACATTGCGAGGGTACCTCTGGTCTCTCTTTTCGGGGTGGCCAAGCCAAACGGTTCGAGGCCTCGGGTCTCTTCTCCCACAGCATCTCAGGCACTCGCAGCACCTAGGGGAGACGCAAAGTTAATTTACAACCCATATTTCTTTGAGTGGCACATGCTTAACATCCCAAATCCTCTCCACAAGTTGAGCATCACTCCTTAGCCCATCAACAACCACCTCTCCCCTGTTGATTATCTACTATATCACAAGCACCTTAAGACCAAGACCTCACCATTTTCCCAGATGCAGATGCCCAGCTGCCCTGAACCCCCGGAGGCCTGACTCAAATTGCTGAGCTACAAGCAGACATCTCATCCAGTGTTACAGTGTCTAATAAACATGGGAAGCTCCATGTCCGGAGCTGGCTAGACACGTGTTGGTGCTCAGATGCCCCAGAAGCCACGTGTGGGTTCACGGTCTCCTCCACTTGCTCTCTGGAAACTGATGTGTGGGGAAGCACGGACTACGTTCATGCTATGTTCACTCATACTAGGCCAATATAACCTCTTGTACTTGTTTTCTTCTGCAACTTAATCCACTTGGTCAAAAAAGAGCTGCTCTTGTTTCATTAAATATTTTCTATTAGTATGTAGCTCATTAATTCTCAATTGTGTAGCTCAAAAAATCTTGTTTCATTAAATATTTTCTATTAGTTTAATTCTCAATTATGTAGCTCAAAAAAATACTTTTTACATCTTATCATGCCAGTTTTCCAGGAAATTCTCCAAGATAAATAAAACAAACATTCATATCACAGCATGCTGACTTTCTTCTTTCTCAGTTCATGCCCAGGTTAAAGAGATTTATTTAACATTTTCCTGCCTGTTACTAAAGGCGACATGGAACATCTGCAAGCCGCAGCACCTCTGCTGTGACCAGCTGAAGAGCCTGCCCTCTTCTCTGCTGAGGAGATAACCAAAATGCAGGCTATCAAACACGAACTGAGCTGGCCCTCTGGACATGAACCTAAAGCAGGAGCTTGCAGCCATCCTCACTCGTCCCCGCAGCTCCAGCAAGGCCAGCCTGGCTGTCACCCATCCCTGGAGCACTCGAATGCAGCGCATCATCCCCCCAATGTAGGGGACTGCCCTTATCCAAGGTGAGATTTCCCCCAGCACAGTCGGGTATCACACACGATACAACAGCATCTGCTGCTCTGAAAGTCACCGAGCTGCCTGTGAACATCCAGCGAGATGCTGCTTCCCTCGGCCAAGAGCAGGGATTAGGATACAGGAAACCAGCAGCGGGAGCGGAGCAGGAGCTTGAGCGCTGGAGCCAGCAGCCCAGCACAGCCCCTGCTCCTCCTGCAAGGGACCTCATCTGCAGAGAGCGGAGCCTCCGTGCCCAGGCACCAGGCTATTCCCAGCCTCACAACAGGAACGCGTCACCACGTGTCCCACGGGCTCCTGGCGGGCAGTGCCACACGCTGGTGCCAGCTCTGTATGGGTCACCGGTGACGTTACAGCACTGGCCGAGCCCGGGAGCCTCCTGTACCAGCGCTGATGCGCTGGGAGCAAATCCAGCTCCCACGAGGTTACCCCAGGAAGGTGCGAGGGGTTACCTGCACCTCCCCAAGGGAAACTTGAAAATAGCCTCTCTTTCCAAAAACTGAAGCACTGTAACCTCCCAGACCACTACAGGGTCATTTTCCTGTTGTCACTACTTCTTACTGAAAGCCAACCTCCTCCCAGGCCCTCTTGTTCCTTTAGTAATAGTCCTATCCAATTTCAGTGACATTTGGAAAAAGCTTAGAGCAGCCATACTGACTAACCGAGGTTTCAGAGCGCTAACAAAAATCTCTCCAGAAAATAACACTGAGATCTCCCTTGAATTACAGCTTTCTGCTGCAGAGGTAGAGATAACTACACATGTAATGGAAAGAAAGAAAATAAATAACCATTTTGGGAAATCCGGAAGCATCCGGCTCCGAAGCCTCTCACTTGCTACAAGATACATAATATCATAATGATGAACAGAACTTACCACCGCCCTTCCCAAGGTGGCTTTATACAAATACACCATTTCTTGTTTCATTCTGCGCTGGATGCAAACGAACAGAAACAAGTCTTACCAGTTAAGTGAACTCATTCAGCATTTAAAAAAAATGAGAAAACAACTTGGCTTCAAGAAACAGGTACAGCAAAGGTATCCTGATTTTATTCGGCACTACAGGATTACTGCTATGAGCACAGGTGTTGTCCAAACAGAGGAAAAACATTTTATGGCTCAAAGGGGCTGCAGAGCATAACACAGCACTCTGTATGCAGAGTGCATATGAATTGCAACCTTTGCACAGTGTAGAAACATCTCTTAGGAGATCTAGAGAACTCAAATACTCATATCCAAACCCGAGTGCTTTAAATTCTGCCACATTTGGTAAAAATCCCTACTGCTTTAGCATTCACCCCGATACAGACATCAGCAAAATAAACTGCTGGCAGTACAAACAACTCAAAACACTGATCACTACGAACAGATAGGCCAAGTTATTCAAATGAAATAACTGGAGCCATGTTACCGTTCGAGTACATACGAGAGGCATCAGACTCGCTGGGGTCTTCTAGTACCACTACTGCTGCTTCTGATTATCCTAAGAAACATAATCCACGCCAGAACCCTGAACACAAGTCAGCCCCAAAGGTTACGCTTGCTCCTGAAATTATCAAGCATTTTGGTTTTCCTCTAAGACGAAAGAAAAAAAAAAGTCTTTCTTCCCCATCTTCCCCACTGTTGCATATAATACCTGCCTCGAAAAAAAACAAGGCAGTTAGATGGTAGAGATGGTATAAGCATTAAAGCTAAAAGACATTGAAGACATTTCTGAAGTACATTTTGAAAAGTGTTTATTAGTTTGATTCCTTTAAATTATTGCAGACCAAGCAGCAAAACAAGTCTTCAAGAGTAACTTGTATCCCAAATATATTTTAAAGGAAAATAGTGAAAACCGTGGTTTTCACTCCACAAATTAATAGAAAATATATTTGCTCTATGGAACAAATCATTTCCCCTTCTTATGTGACGGAGAAAGACACAAAGTTTAGCCTTGATTTCATGTTTTAAATATTTTCATTTCGAGTGACCTCTGTTATTAAGCTTTAAACAGCCTTTTGCCCAGGGGAGCAAACCTGGTGTTTACACACTGAGTTTCATCACAGCTTCCCAGTTATGGGCACAGCGAGCAGCTCCTTGCAAGCAGACATCTGAAACCAGCCACCTTTGTTTACTTTTTAGGCTGGGCCTCTTTTAGGGATTTTACTGAACAGTGAGATAAAGAACTACGTACCTATATCATATTTACAATAGGATAAGGCTCGAACAGAGGACTACTACAATCTAATAGGTATTTTATTTGTGGTTTTCATTTTTTACAGAGTAAAATGCAGTCACAAAGAGAAAATTTAAAGACAAATACAAAATAGCAAAGCCAATATCCAAATATCTCATCCAATTTTTAAACTAATATTGGAATTTCCCAAAGCAGACTTCCAGATGTTTTAAGAAAATAACATAACAGCCTTTTTCTTTATAAACATATATGAAAATGACAAATGAACACCACGAACTAGCAGAATGCTTTGCCTTAAGAAGGCAGCACTCTGCCCAACTGTTTACACTTGATTAAATTGCTCTTCACATTCCTCAAATTACTATGAATTCAATATACCATGAATGCTAACACCTATCACAATATCTTAAACACAAGCTCGTGGTCCTGCAAGGCTCCTCACCCATGTGCTCATCCCCCTGAGGCACCCATGGCAGTAGCCCCCAACACTGACAGCAGCCTAAGCAGAGGGAAACAGGAGGCAATTTCACAAAAGTGAAATAACCCAAGCTTTAGCACACGTTTTGCAGTGAAAAGCACCACCTCTCACTGCATACCCATCATGCAGAAACCTGTTGCTCTAGG